AAAAAGTCGAAAAAGTCGCAATTTTTTAAAATAAGTCGAAAAAAATCGAAAAAGTCATAATATCCGAGGACTGAAACGATTATCGGAAGAAATTTGAATTCTTTTTATAAATATTAAAATTCTCTATAAGAATCTATTTATTTTAAAATTTTAAACAAAAAATTATTTAAAAAATAGTGAATTACAATTTTCTGTCAATAAAAGAAACGATCTGAGAAACATAACCTAAAATTTAGGAAATATTTCTCATTAACAGAAAATTGGACGATTTTTATTCAAATGCAACTTTTAATTATGTTCAAATTGCATGTAAAATTCGAGTGTTATTATTTTTGATAATTGAAAAACTAACTTTGTTTCCGAGATGCTTTCAGCGATCCGATCCAGATTCTGCAGACGAGTCCAATTTGGTCCATTTTAACTAAAAGCATGTGTGTTCCACCTGTAAAAAAATAAATAAAAGAATCAAATAACTATATTAAGTTAAAATTAATAAAGTAATTAGTAAAAGAACTAGCATTTAATGAATGAAGAATGTAAAGGCAACGAGGAAATAATAATTTATAATATTCTTTGAAAGTAAACAGAAAAATAGCCGGTTCGCTAACACATTGACAAAAGGAACAACTTTTCCGAAATAATGCGCACTGTCGATATATATCACTATTCTCACCTTTTAAAACAATTATTATTTCGTTGAAAAAGTTCTAAAAAACTTCTGATTTCGTCTTATTTATCACAACAATTAATACTTTTAACACAATTTTCAACGTTACACTTGTTTGTTGTTCTCTGCAAAAATTGCAAATGGCTGCCGCTCATGACTGGGGAGTCGGTGACCGCGCTATTTCGCGCCAATTATGGTAGAAAATTGTTACCGACAGTCGGTACATTACCTACAATTTTCATAGTTCCGCCAATAATTTTCGAATATTTCCCAAGCGGGAAATTCAAAACGAATAAATTACAAATTATTTTTCAAAACAGAATTTCTTTAATAAAAAAACAATTAAAGTAAAATAAAAAAAATATTAAAAAAAAATAAAGTAACATACCTAAAACAAAAATATTAAAAACACAATTAAAGTAAAATAAAACGAAAATATTTTCACTATTATAAATAGAATTTTTTTTTCCTACAGATTTATCGAAATAAAAATATATAAAATACCATTCTCGTAAAATTGAGACATTAAATAAAAGATTTTCTGCTAATTCTTCATACTTAAAATAATTAAAATCTAAAAATTTCTATCGCCACAAATTTTTAACGAACGTAACGAACACAACGAAAGGCAGAAAATAATAAAAAAAAAACATAACCTGCAAAACATTAAATCCGCCTGGAAATTGAATTTTCACTTTTAGAACACTTGAAAAATGGAAATATTGCAATTTATAGTTGTAGTACAATATATCTCGAAATTCCCGAACAGCAAAAAAAACCAACCGTCGACAAGCGACAAAGTGGAATACACAGAACATCACAAATGTTTACTCACATTTACCAAAAAATTGCGCATTGTTTATGTATATAATTATGCTCACCTATTGAAATGATTACAATATTGCTCCAAGATATTCAAAAGATTCTTCACTTTCTCCTCCTTTCACTATAAATTAACACTTGATAACAATTATCACAACTGTAAACTTTGACGGTTCCGCAAAAAATGCAAATGGCGGCTTCATCATGACTGGGGGAGGAGTGTCCAAGCACGCCAAGCACTTTTCCCGCCATTTCCGCAAATGTTACCGACTGTGGATAGTAAAGTCAATATCACACGTGCAATTTCTACACCACCGTAAACATTTAGTGGCGGGAAATTCAAATCACTAAATAGAATTTTATTTTTAATTATAATCATAATAATATTTATATTTATTAATTAAATTAAAAATAATACGTTTATAAGACTTTTGTATATAATTAATAATATATTAACTATTAAAACAAGAATAATAAAAAAAAAATAAAATGAAAAATAATAAATATAATTAATTAATATAATAAAGAAAAAAAATAATATTTTTATTATTATTATTATTATTATTATTATTATTATTATTATTATCAATTATAAAGTAAATTATGTAAACAAACAAATTAATAATAGAAATAAATAATAAAAAAGTATTTTCAAATTATTCAAATCACAATAATTACGAAGCAACACTGTTATTTATTACTCGTGTACAACTTTTCGATACAACTTTCAATTAAAGAATTCATATAAATTTTTTTATTTTTTTTTATATAACATCTACTAGTTAATTTTTTTGGGAGGTACATTTCAAGTTGAATTCGGTAATGTTTTTCCTTTTTTTGTCATTATGGAACGGAGTATATTATTTAAAATTGACTAATTGCTCAGAATTCGATGATAATTAAACAGAATTATTTTTTTCCCTAATATTATTAATTTTCAGTTATAATATTAATTTTTTATTTATGATATTAATTTTTTCAGTTAAAAAAAATTCCATTTTTCTAATTCCAAAAAAGAGAAAAATTTAATTTTCGCAATTCTAAAAGAATTAAATTATTTTCTATTACAAAGGAAATAAAAATTTTGTAGTTTTATAATTATTTTTAATTAAAATTTGGAATATTTTTGAAAAATTTCTACTATTATATTATTAATTCCTGGCGGCTAGGTCGATGTTTTTTTTTTTAATTGTTTTTTTATTTAATTTTTAAAATAATTTTTACAATAATAAAGACGATGAAATTTATTGACTAGAAATCAGTAAATAAAAAACAGATTTCCGCTGTAGTACGAATTTGTAAAAAGAAAAAAATTTTCGTAGAGTACATAAATCAATTGTATATGTAGTTAATAAAAAATCTTATTATAAAATTCTAATTCTACAAAGATATGAAATTTGTTCAATTTTCTAATTTCCTCGGTTTAACTACGAAATTAACTACAGAGAGATTTAATCAATTAACAGGAAAATTGATTAATCTTTTTTACATAATTATAATATTTATAATATATAATTAATTATAATAAACATTTCTTTTGATCAATAACTAATGTTACAGAATTCAAAATTTTAATTTATAAATTTGTAAACTTTTGAATTTATAATAAATAAATAATTATTATTTTTGAAATTAATTTTCAATTCATAAATATTCGATGTTAAATTTCGAAAATTAATATTGAATTTCCAATTCAATATTATTAATTATTAATTATTAATTCCAATAATTTATCAAATTATATAAATTCAATTTTGAATTTATTAATTTTATAAATGTATATTTTGATTTTAAATAAATCCAGTTCTCAATTTATAAATTAAAATTTTTCAATTGAAAATCGAAACAAAATAATTTGATTCGTTTTTTTACAATAATTAAAAAACTTTTAGTATATAATATTAAAATAAGAGAAGACTTTTTTTTATGAGTCGTAACAACTTTTTGACAATATTTTCAATATTTAGGAAAACAATTGCCTTTAAAATAAAAACTATTATCTAAAACGATTGATAATAATTAAATGTTACGTTTTAAACTATTCAGCTGATTGTTAGTAAATGCAGACAGTCAAGAATAAGCGGCAGTGTTAGACAATAATAATAGATTGTAAATTAATTTTACAATATCGAACCTTAATTCTCAAAAAAAAAAAAACAATTGTAACGAATCTTATTGCATTCGAAATTTTTTCCATTTCTTGTTTTCTAGATTCTTTACATAATTATTTACTAAATATAATCAGCTGTAATTTTTAAGCGTTCCACTGACCATACAAGTTTCGAGATCACAGGTTGTTCTTATTGTTTAAAAAAACAATCTTGAAAATGAATTTAATTTTCCATCCAGTATTATGAAGTAATTCAATAAAATTTGATAATTTATATTTTAGTTCATTAATTTAATTGATATTTTAACGAATTCAATAATTTCGTTAGTTAATTTAATTCGATAATCTAATTATTTAAATTCGATAATTTAATTAACTAATTAAATTAAATAATTTCCTTAGTTAATTTAATAGAGAAATTAAATTTAATTAATATTTTTTAAAATGGCAACAAAATTTTTTTTCACTTCATTTAAAAATACCATGGAACAACTTAAGATTTGTATAAAAAAAAAGAATTACAATAAATTCGAGTATATATTTGTTAAAGTAAAGAAAAGACATTTCTATATATAAAATAGTTAATATTGTTATTCAATTTTTTTTAGTAAAAAATTTTAGTAGTATCAATAAAAATAATTTGGATCTTTCAATGTTTTATCTTGAGAAGTATAACATTTCGTTTATACTTTCAAAGTGTTATCGTTTCTTTAAGTAATGGATTTGCATAATCACAGTTGTTTTACGTGAAAAAAATTCATTTTCACAGACCACATCTTCGGTATTATTATTATCATCATTGAATAATTATTATTATTACTTTCCTGTAATATATTAAATTTTAAGAAACAAAATAGAAATCAGATTTATGACAGTAGTAAATGTTAGCTTAATGTTCGAAGTATACATGCATTTTTTTTCTTTTTTTTCTTTTTTCTTTTTTCTTTAAATCGCACATGATTCTAAACTAGTTTTTATACCTGTAAATAATTATAATACAAGTATTTGTCAATAAATTGTTGTTGACTATCAGAAATTTGTAAATTGCGCGTGTCAACAAATTGTGCAAAAAAAAAGATTCTATAAAATTCTCTCATAATTATTTATTATACGTATAAATTCAAAAATTATTTTTGAATTTAATAGAAATGGAGAACAAATTATTATAAACAAAAATTTGCCATTGTTTAAAAACCCTTTGAAGGTTGAATTGCACTCTTGCTTTGAAGAAATTTAATTATATTAATATAATTAATTATTAAATGACTATTTGATAATTAAAAGTATTAAATAATTGAATAATTAAATAATTGAATTATTTATTAATTGAATTATCTAACAATTCAGTTATCTAGTAATTTAATTATCTGATAATTCAGTTAATATTTAATAATTCCATTATTTGATAATTCATTATTTAGAAGTTGATTATTAAATAATTATTCAATAATATTATAATTAAATAATTATTTTCGAGTCTGAATTATTTAAACTAAATATTAAAAAAAAAATTCAAATATTTCATACCGTGTATCGTTCAACGACAATCGAAATTTTTTTCTTATAAACGAACCTTCAGATCTTCCATTCTTTGTTTTATTCTTCGACGCATCTCCTTGTATCTAAAAATAGAAATATTAGTTGAATTAAATTATTTTCTAAAACTTTTAATAAAATTTCACGAAAGAATTCAATTATTTTCTAAAATTTGTAATAAAATTTCACGAAAGAATTCAATTATTTTCAATAAAATTTCAGAAAATAATTCAATTTTTTTCTTAATTCGTTATAAAATTTTTCGAAAGAATTAAATTATTTTCTATATTTTAATAAAATTCTGAGAAGAATTTAATTATTTTCTAAAGGTTTTAATAAAATTCCATAATTTAATTGTTTAATTTCAATTATTAAGAAACACGATTATTTTAAAAACTTAAATAAATTGTTCGCAAAATCCAATTATTGTCAAAGTTTTCAATTAAAATTATTAAAGAAACTCTATTATAAAAAAAAATTGATAGAAATTCTTCAAATGAATTTAATTAGGATTTTCAGAAATTTTAAAATTGAAAATATTACAATAATACAACGATTATTAATATCGATTATTTTACATTCTCATAAAAAAAAGGAACTTACTTTTCTTTAAGGAGCAATATATGTCTTTCCTCCTCATGATGATAACGTTTTAATATTCCTTGACATTCGGCGAGAGAGAGATTCAAAAATTGTGCGACATCTGAACTTATTTCAGGTGTCGAGAGTTTATCGACAAGAAATAGACGAGCAATATTTTCATGAGGTCCCAAAACGACTCTTACTTCCAATGGATATTCATCTTCTCGCAGTCTTCGTTGTTCTAAAAATTGTATTTTTTTTTTTATTTTATAGTCGAAAATATTAATTAAAATAAAAGGAAAAAAAAATATTGTAAAGGAGCAAAAAAGGGAAAAATTAAAAAAGAAAGAATTAAATCTTACCTCCATTATCACGAATAACAAAGAGAGCAAAATTATCAGGTTTCGCATCGACTTTATATTTGTCAAGCATTAAATTGATAACTTCCTGAGTGCTTACGAGACTAGTGACCCAAACGGACATTTGTGATCCATGTGGCGGAGTGAAGAAGCTCGTTTCACGATTATAAAAATGTCCATTAATCGAGCAACGTCGTCGCAATCGATTACGCGATTGACGTCTTCCACCAGGTCGACGTCTTATTGCCGTTGATCCTTGTTTCCGACGCAGAACAACTCCGTCCAACTGAAAACAAAACAAAATTATAAAAACGAAAATTCTATATTTTCTTTTCCTGACTTTTTCCTAATTTTTATCAAAAATTAAACTTCTTTTTTGTCCTGCTAATAAATTAAATTCCTGCAACGAATTTTATTATTCTTGAAAGAATTTAAATATTTGTAAAAATAATTTAATTCTTGTGAAGAATTTTAGAAAAATTTCCAAATAATTCATTTCTTTCGACTAATTTTATGTAAATTCTAAATAAAATAAATGAATTCCTGAGAAATTCAATTCATTTTTATTATTCATGAAAATAATTGAATTTTTGCAAAGAATTTTATTAAAATGCCTCAAAATAATTTAATTTTCGGGAAAAATTTTGTTATTTATCTTAAATAATTGAATCCTTTTGAAGAATTATTTATGTAAATAATTGAATTATTAGAAAGAATTTTATTAAAATCTAAAAGAATAATTAAATTATTTCAAAAAAATTTAATTAAAATATTGTATTCAAAATAATTGATTTCCTTTTAACAAGTTTATTAAAATATTTGAAAATATAATTGAATTCCTGTGAAAAATTCTAATATTTTTGTAAATTAAAAATAATTGAAATCTACGATGAATTTTATTATTTATAAAAATAATTGAATTTTTGCGAAGAATTTTATTAAAAAGCCTCAAAATAATTGAATTTTCGGGAAAAATTTTGTTATTTATCGATAGAATTGAATTATTTCAAAAAAATTTAATTAAAATTGTATTTAAAATAATTGATTTCTTTAGAACAATTTTATTAAAATAATTCAAAATAATTAAATTCCTGTAAATAATTCTAATATTTTTGTAAATAATTGAATTCTTCCAAAGAATTTTAAAAACATTTTAAATAATTGATTTTTTCGAGAAATTGAAATTAAATTTTTAATAATAATTACATTTTTTAAGCATTTCCTGAATAATTGTATTAAAAATAATTAAAATCCTGCGATGATTTTTATTATTTATATGAAAATAATTAAATAGTTGCAAAGAATTTTATTAAAATTTTCGTAATTAATTGAACTCCTGAGAAAAATTTTATTATTTATGTAAATAATTGAACTATTGCGAAAAATTTTATTAAAATCTTTAAAAAGCACTGAATTTCTGTGAAAAATTTTGTTACTTTTAAAAATAAATTAATTCTTGTGATGAATATTGTTATTTATAAAAATAATTGAATATTGCAAAGAATTTTACAGGATTCCTATAGAAATCCGAATTTAAAATTCCATACCTTTTCCATGATTTCCAGGTCAAATTTTTACGAAATTCCAGTGGAATTTTAAATCTAATTTCATTATTTTTGGGGTCTTTCAAAACACTTTACTTATTTAATAGTCTCGACTCTTTGGTAAAAAATCTAAAATTATCGAAAATTATCAAAAATTCAAAAATCCGAATTTCTCTTTGGTAAAAAATCTAAAATTATCGAAAATTATCAAAAATTCAAAAATCCGAATTTCTTAAAATTCAACATTTTTTCTCCTTTTTCGTGGCATTTAGCTTTATTATTTTTGTGCTTTTGGAAAATACTTTACTAATTTAATAGTCTCGACTCTTTGGTAAAAAATCTAAAATTATCGAAAATTATCAAAAATTCAAAAATCCGAATTTCTTAAAATTCAACACTTTTTCCTCTCTTTTATGGGATTTAGCTTCAATATTTTTGTGCTTTAGGAAAATACTTTACTTATTTAATAGTCTCGACTCTTTGGTAAAAAAATCTAAAATTATCGAAAATTATCAAAAATTCAAAAATCCGAATTTCTTAAAATTCAACATTTTTTCTCCTTTTTCGTGGCATTTAGCTTTATTATTTTTGTGCTTTTGGAAAATACTTTACTAATTTAATAGTCTCGACTCTTTGGTAAAAAATCTAAAATTATCGAAAATTATCAAAAATTCAAAAATCCGAATTTCTTAAAATTCAACACTTTTTCCTCTCTTTTATGAGATTTAGCTTCAATATTTTTGTGCTTTTGGAAAATAATTTACTTATTTAATAGTCTCGACTCTTTGGTAAAAAATCTAAAATTATCGAAAATTATCAAAAATTCAAAAATCCGAATTTCTTAAAATTCAACATTTTCTCTCCTTTTTTATAGCATTTAGCTTTATTATTTTTGTGCTTTTGGAAAAAACTTTACTTATTTAATAGTCTCGACTCTTTGGTAAAAAATCTAAAATTATAGAAAATTATCAAAAACTCAAAAATTCGAATTTCTTAAAATTCAACATTTTTTCTCCTTTTTTATGGCATTAAGCTTTATTATTTTTGTGCTTTAGGAAAATACTTTACTTATTTAATAGTCTCTACTCTTTGGTAAAAAATCTAAAATTATCGAAAATTATCAAAAATTCAAAAATCCGAATTTCTTAATATTCAACATTTTCTCTCCTTTTTTATGGCATTTAGCTTTATTATTTTTGTGCTTTAGGAAAATACTTTACTTATTTAATAGTCTCGACTCTTTGGTAAAAAATCTAAAATTATCGAAAATTATCAAAAATTCAAAAATCCGAATTTCTTAAAATTCAACATTTTCTCTCCTTTTTTATAGCATTTAGCTTTATTATTTTTGTGCTTTTGGAAAAAACTTTACTTATTTAATAGTCTCGACTCTTTGGTAAAAAATCTAAAATTATAGAAAATTATCAAAAACTCAAAAATCCGAATTTCTTAAAATTCAACATTTTTTCTCCTTTTTTATGGCATTAAGCTTTATTATTTTTGTGCTTTAGGAAAATACGTTACTTATTTAATAGTCTCGACTCTTTGGTAAAAAATCTAAAATTATCGAAAATTATCAAAAATTCAAAAATCCGAATTTCTTAATATTCAACATTTTTTCTCCTTTTTTGTGGCATTTAGCTTTATTATTTTTGTGCTTTTGGAAAATACTTTACTTATTTAATAGTCTCGACTCTTTGGTAAAAAATCTAAAATTATCGAAAATTATCAAAAATTCAAAAATCCGAATTTCTTAATATTCAACATTTTTTCTCCTTTTTCGTGGCATTTAGCTTTATTATTTTTGTGCTTTTTGAAAATACTTTACTTATTTAATAGTCGCGACTCTTTGGTAAAAAATCTAAAATTATCGAAAATTATCAAAAATTCAAAAATCCGAATTTCTTAAAATTCAACATTTTTTCTCCTTTTTCGTGGCATTTAGCTTTATTATTTTTGTGCTTTTGGAAAATACTTTACTAATTTAATAGTCTCGACTCTTTGGTAAAAAATCTAAAATTATAGAAAATAATCAAAAATTCAAAAATTCGAATTTCTTAAAATTCAACACTTTTTCCTCTCTTTTATGAGATTTAGCTTCAATATTTTTGTGCTTTTGGAAAATAATTTACTTATTTAATAGTCTCGACTCTTTGGTAAAAAATCTAAAATTATCGAAAATTATCAAAAATTCAAAAATCCGAATTTCTTAAAATTCAACATTTTCTCTCCTTTTTTATAGCATTTAGCTTTATTATTTTTGTGCTTTTGGAAAAAACTTTACTTATTTAATAGTCTCGACTCTTTGGTAAAAAATCTAAAATTATAGAAAATTATCAAAAACTCAAAAATCCGAATTTCTTAAAATTCAACATTTTTTCTCCTTTTTTATGGCATTAAGCTTTATTATTTTTGTGCTTTAGGAAAATACGTTACTTATTTAATAGTCTCGACTCTTTGGTAAAAAATCTAAAATTATCGAAAATTATCAAAAATTCAAAAATCCGAATTTCTTAATATTCAACATTTTTTCTCCTTTTTTGTGGCATTTAGCTTTATTATTTTTGTGCTTTTGGAAAATACTTTACTTATTTAATAGTCTCGACTCTTTGGTAAAAAATCTAAAATTATCGAAAATTATCAAAAATTCAAAAATCCGAATTTCTTAATATTCAACATTTTTTCTCCTTTTTCGTGGCATTTAGCTTTATTATTTTTGTGCTTTTTGAAAATACTTTACTTATTTAATAGTCGCGACTCTTTGGTAAAAAATCTAAAATTATCGAAAATTATCAAAAATTCAAAAATCCGAATTTCTTAAAATTCAACACTTTTTCCTCTCTTTTATGGGATTTAGCTTCAATATTTTTGTGCTTTAGGAAAATACTTTACTTATTTAATAGTCTCGACTCTTTGGTAAAAAAATCTAAAATTATCGAAAATTATCAAAAATTCAAAAATCCGAATTTCTTAAAATTCAACACTTTTTCTCCTTTTTTATAGCATTTAGCTTTATTATTTTTGTGCTTTTGGAAAAAACTTTACTTATTTAATAGTCTCGACTCTTTGGTAAAAAATCTAAAATTATAGAAAATTATCAAAAACTCAAAAATCCGAATTTCTTAAAATTCAACATTTTTTCTCCTTTTTTATGGCATTAAGCTTTATTATTTTTGTGCTTTAGGAAAATACGTTACTTATTTAATAGTCTCGACTCTTTGGTAAAAAATCTAAAATTATCGAAAATTATCAAAAATTCAAAAATCCGAATTTCTTAATATTCAACATTTTTTCTCCTTTTTTGTGGCATTTAGCTTTATTATTTTTGTGCTTTTTGAAAATACTTTACTTATTTAATAGTCGCGACTCTTTGGTAAAAAATCTAAAATTATCGAAAATTATCAAAAATTCAAAAATCCGAATTTCTTAAAATTCAACATTTTTTCTCCTTTTTCGTGGCATTTAGCTTTATTATTTTTGTGCTTTTGGAAAATACTTTACTAATTTAATAGTCTCGACTCTTTGGTAAAAAATCTAAAATTATAGAAAATAATCAAAAATTCAAAAATTCGAATTTCTTAAAATTCAACACTTTTTCCTCTCTTTTATGAGATTTAGCTTCAATATTTTTGTGCTTTTGGAAAATAATTTACTTATTTAATAGTCTCGACTCTTTGGTAAAAAATCTAAAATTATCGAAAATTATCAAAAATTCAAAAATCCGAATTTCTTAAAATTCAACATTTTCTCTCCTTTTTTATAGCATTTAGCTTTATTATTTTTGTGCTTTTGGAAAAAACTTTACTTATTTAATAGTCTCGACTCTTTGGTAAAAAATCTAAAATTATAGAAAATTATCAAAAACTCAAAAATCCGAATTTCTTAAAATTCAACATTTTTTCTCCTTTTTTATGGCATTAAGCTTTATTATTTTTGTGCTTTAGGAAAATACGTTACTTATTTAATAGTCTCGACTCTTTGGTAAAAAATCTAAAATTATCGAAAATTATCAAAAATTCAAAAATCCGAATTTCTTAATATTCAACATTTTTTCTCCTTTTTTGTGGCATTTAGCTTTATTATTTTTGTGCTTTTGGAAAATACTTTACTTATTTAATAGTCTCGACTCTTTGGTAAAAAATCTAAAATTATCGAAAATTATCAAAAATTCAAAAATCCGAATTTCTTAAAATTCAACATTTTCTCTCCTTTTTTATGGCATTTAGCTTTATTATTTTTGTGCTTTTGGAAAATACTTTACTTATTTAATAGTCTCGACTCTTTGGTAAAAAATCTAAAATTATCGAAAATTATCAAAAATTCAAAAATCCGAATTTCTTAAAATTCAACACTTTTTCCTCTCTTTTATGGGATTTAGCTTCAATATTTTTGTGCTTTTGGAAAATACTTTACTTATTTAATAGTCTCGACTCTTTGGTAAAAAATCTAAAATTATCGAAAATTATCAAAAACTCAAAAATCCGAATTTCTTAAAATTCAACATTTTTTCTTCTTTTTCGTGGCATTTAGCTTTATTATTTTTGTGCTTTTGGAAAATACTTTACTTATTTAATAGTCGCGACTCTTTGGTAAAAAATCTAAAATTATAGAAAATTATCAAAAATTCAAAAATCCGAATTTCTTAAAATTCAACACTTTTTCCTCTCTTTTATGAGATTTAGCTTCAATATTTTTGTGCTTTTGGAAAATAATTTACTTATTTAATAGTCTCGACTCTTTGGTAAAAAATCTAAAATTATCGAAAATTATCAAAAATTCAAAAATCCGAATTTCTTAAAATTCAACATTTTTTCTCCTTTTTTGTGGCATTTAGCTTTATTATTTTTGTGCTTTTGGAAAATACTTTACTAATTTAATAGTCTCGACTCTTTGGTAAAAAATCTAAAATTATAGAAAATTATCAAAAATTCAAAAATTCGAATTTCTTAAAATTCAACACTTTTTCCTCTCTTTTATGAGATTTAGCTTCAATATTTTTGTGCTTTTGGAAAATAATTTACTTATTTAATAGTCTCGACTCTTTGGTAAAAAATCTAAAATTATCGAAAATTATCAAAAATTCAAAAATCCGAATTTCTTAAAATTCAACATTTTCTCTCCTTTTTTTATAGCATTTAGCTTTATTATTTTTGTGCTTTTGGAAAAAACTTTACTTATTTAATAGTCTCGACTCTTTGGTAAAAAATCTAAAATTATAGAAAATTATCAAAAACTCAAAAATCCGAATTTCTTAAAATTCAACATTTTTTTCTCTCTTTTATGGGATTTAGCTTTATTATTTTTGTGCTCTTCAAAAATACTTTACTTATTTAATAGTCTCCAACCTTTGGTAAAAAATCTAAAATTATCGAAAATTATCAAAAATTCAAAAATCCGAATTTCTTAATATTCAACATTTTTTCTCCTTTTTTGTGGCATTTAGCTTTATTATTTTTGTGCTTTTGGAAAATACTTTACTTATTTAATAGTCTCGACTCTTTGGTAAAAAATCTAAAATTATCGAAAATTATCAAAAATTCAAAAATCCGAATTTCTTAAAATTCAACATTTTTTCTCCTTTTTCGTGGCATTTAGCTTTATTATTTTTGTGCTTTTGGAAAATACTTTACTTATTTAATAGTCTCGACTCTTTGGTAAAAAATCTAAAATTATCGAAAATTATCAAAAATTCAAAAATCCGAATTTCTTAAAATTCAACACTTTTTCCTCTCTTTTATGGGATTTAGCTTCAATATTTTTGTGCTTTTGGAAAATACTTTACTTATTTAATAGTCTCGACTCTTTGGTAAAAAATCTAAAATTATCGAAAATTATCAAAAATTCAAAAATCCGAATTTCTTAAAATTCAACATTTTTTCTTCTTTTTCGTGGCATTTAGCTTTATTATTTTTGTGCTTTTGGAAAATACTTTACTTATTTAATAGTCGCGACTCTTTGGTAAAAAATCTAAAATTATAGAAAATTATCAAAAATTCAAAAATCCGAATTTCTTAAAATTCAACACTTTTTCCTCTCTTTTATGAGATTTAGCTTCAATATTTTTGTGCTTTTGGAAAATAATTTACTTATTTAATAGTCTCGACTCTTTGGTAAAAAATCTAAAATTATCGAAAATTATCAAAAATTCAAAAATCCGAATTTCTTAAAATTCAACATTTTTTCTCCTTTTTTGTGGCATTTAGCTTTATTATTTTTGTGCTTTTGGAAAATACTTTACTAATTTAATAGTCTCGACTCTTTGGTAAAAAATCTAAAATTATCGAAAATTATCAAAAATTCAAAAATCCGAATTTCTTAAAATTCAACATTTTCTCTCCTTTTTTTATAGCATTTAGCTTTATTATTTTTGTGCTTTTGGAAAAAACTTTACTTATTTAATAGTCTCGACTCTTTGGTAAAAAATCTAAAATTATAGAAAATTATCAAAAACTCAAAAATCCGAATTTCTTAAAATTCAACATTTTTTTCTCTCTTTTATGGGATTTAGCTTTATTATTTTTGTGCTCTTCAAAAATACTTTACTTATTTAATAGTCTCCAACCTTTGGTAAAAAATCTAAAATTATCGAAAATTATCAAAAATTCAAAAATCCGAATTTCTTAATATTCAACATTTTTTCTCCTTTTTTGTGGCATTTAGCTTTATTATTTTTGTGCTTTTGGAAAATACTTTACTTATTTAATAGTCTCGACTCTTTGGTAAAAAATCTAAAATTATCGAAAATTATCAAAAATTCAAAAATCCGAATTTCTTAAAATTCAACATTTTCTCTCCTTTTTTATGGCATTTAGCTTTATTATTTTTGTGCTTTAGGAAAATACTTTACTTATTTAATAGTCTCGACTCTTTGGTAAAAAATCTAAAATTATCGAAAATTATCAAAAATTCAAAAATCCGAATTTCTTAAAATTCAACATTTTTTCTCCTTTTTTGTGGCATTTAGCTTTATTATTTTTGTGCTTTTGGAAAATACTTAACTTATTTAATAGTCTCGACTCTTTGGTAAAAAATCTAAAATTATCGAAAATTATCAAAAATTAAAAAATCCGAATTTCTTAAAATTCAACATTTTTTTCTCTCTTTTATGGGATTTAGCTTCATTATTTTTGTGCTCTTCAAAAATACTTTACTTATTTAATAGTCTCCAACCTTTAGTAAAAAATCTAAAATTATGGAAAATTAGCAAAAATTTAAAAAACCAATTTTATTAAAATATTTGAAAATAATTGAATTTCTGTTAAAAATTGGAATATTTTTCAAAATACTTGAATTCTTCCAAAGAATTTAAAAAAACATTTTTTTAAATAATTGTTTTTTTCGTGAAATTGAAATTAAATTTTTAAGAATAGTATTAAAAATAATTGAAATTCTTCGACGAGTTTTATTATTTATGAAAATAATTGAATTCATGTTTAGAATTTTATGACAAAAATTTTTTGAAAAAAAATTGAATGTCCATGAAAAATTTTATTATTAGTGAAAGTAATTGAATTATTGTGAAGAATTGTATAAAAATTTTGTTAAATAATTGATTTTTTTGAAAATGCTATTCTAAATTAATTGAATTCCAGTGTAAATTTTATTATTTATGAAAATAATTGAATTTTGGATGAAGTTTATCAATATTTTTTAAATAATTGTATTCTTTCGCGAAATTTTATGAAAATATATTGAAAATAATTGATTTTTGTATGTTTTTTGATAATAATTGAATTTCGAATATGTTTTGAAAATAATTGAATAGTTTTAAAGAATTTGATAATAATTTTTTCGAACAGTTTTTTGATTTCTAGTATTAGCGAATTTAAAGTAGCGAAAATTAAAAAAAAACAGAAATAGGAGCTTTTAGTTGCTGAAATCTAAAAAATGTACCCAAATAGTATCATATCGCAAAAAAAGTAGTAAATAGGTTTTAGTAGATGAGTGCGAAATAGTATTGAATATATTAGAATGAATTGAAAAGAAAATCGAACCTCTAATCCACTGTCAGTGGACATTGTCATATTATCATCGTCACGAAACTGCAATGAATTCACTGAATCATTATCACTGTCATTGCGATGCCTTTGTAAACAATCGGGTCCAGACATCGATCGATTTAATCCCTTCTCAATCCAACTTTCATCACTCTCAATCGATCGATTACTCGCTATACTTTTCTCTAAACTATCAAAGTACTCGACTCGTCGTAGTGTGCCATTTTTATTTGGTGTTCCATGATAAATTGGAGTATCATTACTGGAAGAACTGTCGACACTGTGCGTTGGTGTACTACTCACACTACTCTCACTTCCCTTTCCAATTTTATTATTATTTGGACTATTCGTTATCGAACCATTTTTCAACGATTGCGGCGGTGTTAATTCATTACTGGAATGTGAACTTATTGACGGTAAACTTTCTGGCATTGTTTGATAAAGTTTATTTCCCTCCTCGACTTTGCGTTCAACCTAAAAATATATTTCAGTACAAAAATTTTATTTCATTTTCAATCTAAATTTAGTTTAAATTTAATTTTCATTCTAAATTTAGTTTAAACTTAATTTTGAATTAAATTTAGATTGATTTTATTTAATTTCCGTATTCGAATTAAAATGTAATTCTTCTTTTTTAAATACAGAGAAAAAAGTTCTTAGACAATTTTTATATAATACCTGGAGAAGTTCGTCGAGCTCGTCCCAATTTGAAGTTTTAACTTCCAATTTCATTGGTAGAGTTAAACTTTTTAAATGATCGGGAGACGGGGGAACTGATTCGGTTTCACTTTCTATGTGATTTTCAACTGTTGGCGAATTCTTTGTTGTGTCGATTATTTCACCTTTATCGACCTCCTAATTCCAGGCAATAAATAAATTATTATATCAATAAACGTTCTGTAATTAATTATTAATTAGAAGTAAAAATTGGAAATACAAACGTCAGTAACACTTCGTCTGCAAGAATTTCTATGTCTGGCAGTAACAACCGTTCGTTGATCATCATCTTCCTTTAAGTGAATTACACCGCGAACGCCCCAATAAATTCTCAATGCGCCTTCCAAAATTAATCGTCCATTCACCTATTGAATAAAATTTAAATATTTACTTTTTTATTCTAATTAATAATTTACAAAAGAATCGTATTTATTTTTAAATAATTTCCACACCTCTCGACTTCGAATTCCTCCACTTTTCCCCTCGTAATATTGATTGAAAACTTTTAGTTTCGACTCCAAATGTGACCTAATAAAATGAACAAACAAAATTGTAAATTAAGATGTTAAATACATATTTTGGTAGTTTTTTTAGATACAAATTCGAAAAAAATATTTTAAATAACTTTCCCTTATTATTTTCCAATAGGAATTCAAATTCTTCAAAATATTCAAATTCATGTTTTATAATAATTAAAATTACCATAAAATTTTTCAAAATAAATTTAATTATTTACAAAAATCCTTCGCAAGAAGTCAATTATTTCTACAAGTAGTAAAATTTCACAAAAGAATTCAATTATTTAAGAAAAATGTAATAAATTTCGTTGCAAGAATTCAATTATTTTCATTTAATCAATTATTCGGAAATTCATTTTTAAATCAATTTTTCATAGAAAATTCTACTAGAATTCAATTACTTAAATACAAATAAAATACAAATAAATAATTTATTGAATAATTGAATGTTTGTTGAAACTGAATTCTGAATTGAATTTGTATCAACAAATTTTTAAATAATAGAATTCTTTTGACGAATTTTCATGAAGTTTTTAAGAATAATTACATTTTTCGAGAAATTCGATTAAAATTGTATAAAAAATAATTAAAATTCTACGATGAGTTATATTATATTTATGAAAATAATTAAATTCCTGAGAATAGATTTATTTATTTATAAAAATAATTGAATTATTGCGAAAACATTTATAAAAAAATTTGTAAATAATTGAAATCCTGGGAAATTTTTATTATTTATAAAAATAATTAAATGTTTACGTTGAATTTTATTAAATTTTTTTTAAATAATTGTATTTCAGCGAAGAATTTTATAAAGATAATTGAAATCATGACGAGAATTTTTTTTTAATTTTTGAAAATAATTGAATTTATGAAAAGAATTTCATTTATTCTTAAAAATAATTTTATTCTTATGATTAATATTTGTATTTATGAAAATAATTGAATTTTCGCAAAGAATTTTATTAAAATGCCTCAAAATAATTTAATTTTCGGGAATAATTTTGTTATTTATCTTTAATAAATGAATTCTTTCTATGAAATATTTATGTAAATAATTGAATTCTTGGGAAGAATTTTATTAAAATCTAAAAGAATAATTGAATTATTTCCAAAAAAATTTAATTAAAATTTTATTTAAAATAATTGATTTCTTACGAACAATTTTATTAAAATATTTGCAAATAATTGAATTGTTGTAAAAAATTCTAATATTTTTGTAAATAATTGATTTTTTCGAAGAAGCGAAATTACATTTTTTGAAAAATTTCTGTAAAATTGTATGATAAATAATTGAAATTTGAATTTTATTATTTATGAAAATAATTGAATAGTTGCAAAGAATTTTATTAACATTTTAAAAAATAATTGAATTCCTGAGAAGAATTTAATTATTTATAAAAGTAAAAAATTTTTGCAAAGTATTTTATTACTTTTGAAAATAATTGAATTTCTGCAATTATTTGTAACTTTTCCAAAATTCAATTTTTTAAAAGTATTTTTAACTAAAATTCTTCTATAAATGTAGTATTTTTAATAATTAATTAAATATATATTAAAAAATGTAACTAATTTAAAATTTCAGAAGAATGTGAATTATTAAAATTTTCCAAAAATCTAAGTTCTTTCTAATTAAATTCATTCAAAATTGAAATTTTATAAAATTTAAAATTAAAACCTTTTGAAGTTGATCTATTTCTGAAAATTGTTAACGCAATTCTTGTAAAATTCAATTAATTTTGAAACATTTAAGTCAAATTAGTCATTAAATAATTTCTAAATAATAATTTTATGATAGTTCTTGAAAAAGAAATTATTGACAAAAATACAAAAAATGGAAGGTTTTGTATTAAAATTCGTGGTAATTTTATAGTTTACGAGGCAAACCAAAAAAACATTAAAATTCAGAGTTTTCCTATGAATTTTAAAAAATCAATTTTTTCCAAGTTTTTTTTTACTAAAAATCCCTGACTTTTCCCTGTAAAATTTTAGAGACAAAAATAAATACCTCGGCAACGTTGAGCGAAGTTCTTTTTTTCCGAAACTAGTATGAGATTCAACTCTTGTACCATGACCAAATAATTGTGGTCCAAAAAGTGCTCCATAACAAGGAACATGGCAGTACGGAACACCTTTGTGCTGCAATAAAAGTTGGAAAATTCGTCAAGGACAATTAAAAACAAACTACATTTTCAAAACACATATTTCTATATTTAAATTAATTACCTCAGCATGCTGTCCGGGATTTAATCGCTTACCACATTCCTCACATCGTAAACACTCCGGATGCCAATCATAACCCAATGATTGTTTGCGTTCAGCTGAAAATTTATTTTTGTATATAATTATATTAAAACCCATCAAAATAAATTCTTCTATTTATTACAATCAATAATATAATTTACAATTTAAAAAAAAATGCAGACATACAGTTAATATGTTGAGAAAAAAATTCGAAGGGCAAATATACATTATATTTATTTAATAGAAATTTTCATGATTTTGACATTTCCGAAATGTCAAAACAAACATAACCTCGAAAACAGTGCATTGACCTGATTTCTTCTAATATTCTTGTTCGCAAAATTAATAAACAATACTATAGATATAATAAAATGGTAATAAATTAGAGTTGGAAATCAATTGAATGCATTGAATGTAATGGTGAATTTATCAAAATAATTTTAGAAATGAAGAAAAATGATAAAAATGCGAATATACTAACCAAAGTAAACGGGTTTTCCACATTTGTGGCACTTCCACATGCTGATAAAATTCTATAAATAACACTAAAAAACATTCGTTTTAACTAGTTTTCTAAATCGACATTTTTTTGATTGTTTAATTATAAAAAGAATTGTGTATACAAGAAAACATCACAAAAGAAAAATGATGATTAAAGATCTTGATTGGATAAAAGAATTTATTTTTTTAATGAGCATGCGTTGGTGTTTTTAAAGTATGATTCACACTGACACATGTCTCTCGAATTAAGCCAAATTCACATTTAACAAGTACATTACATTCCCAACCCTGGTGAATCTTGCCGGCATCTACCGACGAAACTATCAACACTCTCATCAATTGGCAAATGGGCAAATGACTTTGTCTAATAGGTTCCTTTCAGGGTTGCGAAGTTACGCGTAACTTGGAGTTTTTGACGTAAATTACATGGGTATTTTACATGTCTAAAACTGGTATTTTACGGTATTTTATCCCCCACCAAAAAAAATGCATTGCGTTTGAAATTTTTGAGGTAAATTACATGGTAAATTACCGGTATGAAACCAGGTAATATACCTGATAGAACTTGTCGCTCCTCTTGTCCAGATCCAGGCAGAGTCGCAGAGAGGTCTGAACGCACCTTTAAGTAACTGAAATTCTACATTCCCCGCACTGACATTCGTGACTGGAATAATTCCCGCGTAAACTGTGATGTAAACAAATAGAAACAAATTACGTTTTTTTATTAAAAATTTTTACGTTTTAGTAAATGTAGTGATGACAATGAGCGTTCTAAGCTCGATTGTAAGAAGACAATTGGGCTTGGGTAAGAAAACATTTTCATTTTTATATTGCATGTCTCCATTTACTTACCTATCGACATAGTGCCGGATTTTTGAGGTTATGACCCTACCCTTTTGTATATTATAATTTTTAAATTACTCTATTTTTAATAAAGGAAATAATGTTTTTTTTACCACGAAAGTAAATTAAATATCCAAAATTTTCGTCTCTGATAATCATTGAAATAAAAATCTCAATTCAACTCTCATAAAAGAAAACTTTGCGGAAAAATAAATTTAAAAAAGCAGTTCAAATTGGGGTTAAAAACTGATTATTGAACGTATATAACATTTTTTAATAACTTTGTACTACTAAAGAATAGATTTAAGATTATCCGGCACTATTTCGCTGAGGAATAATTATTCTTCAATGACTAAGTTTCTGTATATAAATTCGTTAAAAATCTGTATAATGAAGATAAAAATCGGAACTAAATGTTTATTTTGCAGAGAAATCATCATATTATGATGTAGCTTTACAGCGTCTCAAGTGTTATAGTGACGATGTGTATCGTGGAGTAACGCCAAATCCAGATTCACGTGATTTTAGTGCCGAACCACCAATTTGTGCCTCGCAATTTTGCCCCGTTAATGGTTACGAGCACTTTTTGGCTCTTGCCAATGACGATGGGAATATTGCCCTTCAAGATACGACACAAAAAGGCCGACCACACGAACAATTACAGGGCTTTGGGGTATTTTATTTATAGAATACTTTTAAGTACTTTCAGTACTTTACATTAAGTATACCTTTAAGTTACTTTACTTTAAGCTATTTTCTTTTCAGGCCCATCGAAATGCAATTTTTGATTTGGCATGGATGCCAAATGAATTGAAACTAGTGACAACGTCCGGCGATCATTCGGCACGACTATGGGACGTTTCCACCTCGGATTTTAAATTAATTCAAACATTTCTAGGACATACGCGTAGTGTAAAAAATGTTGTTTTCAGAACTGACGATAATGGTAAGTTTCTTATTTTATTTCGAAAAAAAAAAAGATTTCCAATTAAGCAAAAAATTACTTTTACAGCGGTTTTTGCAACCGGAGCACGAGATGGAGTTATCATGATTTGGGATATTAGGGCAAATCACAGTACAAATGCAAAACCAGATAATTCAATTATGAATGCACATGCAACGGGTTCTGGTACATCGAAGGGTCGGAAATCTTTTACACCCGCATCGCGAACACAAAGTATTACTGGTCTCGCTTTTCAGGATGATTCCTCTCTTATATCGTGCTCTGCAGCCGATGGGTAATTATTTTATTTTCCTTTTACTTGAATTACAGTAATCTAATTTTTGGAATTTAATGTTACAGATTGATAAAAGTGTGGGACTTGAGGAAAAATTATACAGTTCATAAAAAGGATCCTGTTGCGAAGCATATTTTAAAATATACTGGTGGCAGTGTTTTGAATGGATTCACATCATTAAAGATTTGTCCCTCGAGAGTGAAACTTTATGCCAGTTGTCAGGATAATACGATTTATACTTACAATATCTCGTCTTATAATCCGGAACCAAGTGAGTTGCTCCACTTAATAATGGATCCATCTAATAGTTCTAAGAACAATAACTAGATCCAGCAAGGGTCGTGGTGGCATAAGACGAGGGTCTTTTTGTTATTAATGGGATTTTCTAGTTAGTCCACATGCCACCAGGACCGCATTTAGGTAAATTATCTTAGGATCAATTATAAAGTGCAACTTTATTGAATCATTGGTTTTTTAGCCGCTGAATATTTTGGTTACGAGAACAAATCATTTTTCGTGAAAATCTGCCTCAGTCCGGATGGCAAATATTTATTGAGTGGCTCGAGCGACACGTACGCATACCTTTGGCGAACATCTAAACACGGGAGTCCTTTGGTTCGCCTGACTGGACACGCAGCCGAAGTGACTTGCATCGACTGGTGTAGTGTTGGCGAAACAAAGGTATTTTTTCATTATTAGAATTAATTTCAATCAGAAGAATTAAATTTAATTATTCTTTTAGATTGTGACTTGCTCCGACGATGGTTGCCACAGAATTTGGAGAGTCGGCTACGAAAATCGGGAGGACGATCAGAGGCACGATCTTCATGGTCAGGCGGAAGCAGTTCCGGCTTCTGCAATTTTCATGCAAAGAACGCCAACAACTCGAAAACGACGATTATCTAATCACGATAAAACCCCGTCGTCGATAAACGGTCGTGGTATGTAAATTTAATTTAAACCCTAAAGAAATTAATTTCCGTAAGATTGAACAATTTATGTTTGAATTAGGAACCTCGGAGGACCGCGTTCTCAGCTGTGACTCATCACAAGAAAATAAACCCAGCAACTCACAGAAACGAAATTACACCGAAATGTCATCAGCAACGGGCAGTAAAATCGTCCTGTCGCCAATTTTAGAAAATTGTGAATCGACCGCAAAGCGAATTCATTTAGAGACACGAGGCGCTCGCCGCCTATTCAGTCCGGACAATAAAAACACAGATTTAAAATTAGAACCCGATGAACCCGCACCGAGTACATCGCGACAAGCGGACATTTGTGAAATGCCATTCTCGCCAACGTCGAATCTACCGAATTTCGTTATCGACGGCACAGCGCCCCATTTAAATGAATCGTCGCCCCGCAAATACAAAGAGAATCTCGATTGGCTGACAAAAATTCGCAAAGAAAAGGAGCAAAGAGCGAAAGGTTCCGCTGAAAAAACGAGTCCAAAGGCACAAGTAACACCCGCTAGACGCTCGAGTCGATCGAAATCAACAGAATTACGTCGAACACCACGAAGTCCAGCGGGACCGTTACTCAATTTTTTCCGCTCATCAACAAATAAAGAATGCGAAAGAACAATTCAAAACAAAGACGATACAACACCCGTTAAAAAAATGAGAAAGCAATAATTTTGTTTGCCTTTGACAACTAAGCAGTATTTTTTTCTTTTTTAAATTAAACGACAAACTAGACTAAAAATTGTCTCGTTAATACTTGTAGAAAGACTTCGTATCTTTAATGTTTTTTTATCAACTACTGTCATAAGTTATAAATTTTGTATTTTTGTAAGAAAAACTTGAAAAGAAATCATGACAAAAATGTATTTTTAGTTTTTTGTCTTCGAGTGAATGATGATTGTTTGTTGTGTGCCATTTAGAAAGCAGAGCCTGCAGAGCGCCTGAAATACTCAAAATTCAAATGCAAACAAATCAAGTATAAAAAAAAAAAATGAAAAAAAGAGAACTTGAAAATTGTTTCACTAAGTAAACGAAAATAAATTATATTTTATGTGAAAAATTTTTATAACGAAAAATAAAGTTTTTATATAACGTTGGAATTTTAAATTCGCAGTTTTAGCACTTTTTCCCAAATCCATGCGGGATTCGATTACGTAAATTGATTTGATTTTGATTTGACTTTCACTGCATTTCAATTTTTTTTACTAGACACATGTTTTTCAGTGACAGTTCGTCGAAACTGAAGAAAATAAAAATTACTTACTTGAAATTAAATTTATTTATCAACTTCCATTTTGCGGACAAAACATTTTAACAGAACGTGATAATAGTCGAATTTTAACAGCCTTTAATTCAAATTCTTCATTATCGATGTAGAACATTCGACTCTTGTCCTCCTGTAAAAGTGTAAATTTTCGCATAAAAAATTGAGGATGAAAAGTAAAATAAAAATTGATATAGTAATACTCACGAAGGATTCATCCTTCTCTGGATGAATTTCAATGTCTTTGGCGTTGAGAATTTTTTGTGGTTCTTGTTTTTTGCCGCTAATTCGCCTCCAACCTTCGGAAACAAAATCCGTGTAATTCACTGATTTTGGACCGAGTTCCACTTTAACTCCAGTGTCTTCATTTTTTCGACGAACATTCTTTGTTGATAAAAAAAAGTCTGTGGTTGAAATTGGAACTTCTTTGAAGATACCACAATTTTCGTTGTCGACTTTACTGTAATCGATGTGACTGTGTTCTGTTGGAAATAGATTTTTGTATATTTAATGATAAAGAAAGGAAAATTAAATAGATGTGAAATATTACCAGAATGGGAGGTTTTTTGTCGAGGGACAAAAGCGTGCCACCATCTTTTTGAGGATGTCTCGATAGGGGAATTTTGTTCTTGATAGCAACGCGAACAACCTTCGCAAGGATCTGAATATCGAATGGTAGCGACGCATTTCCAATTTAGATCCTCTTTGTGTCCGTTAAAAATATAAGTAACGTATCTGGAATTTTAATATCGGTACGATATTAGCTCCCTTATTTTATGTTTCTCCTTTTTACCTTTTGGTTTTTTTAAAACCTTCATAACCTATTAGTTTTAAAAAACACCGATAGGTTATAAAGGTTATAAAATCGAAAAAGAAGAAACATAAATGAACTTACTTTCGTAAAGGACCGAAATACCAATATTTGTCAACTCTAGAGTTTGCATCTTTCCAGGCTCCCCATTCAATGGCACCGACTGCATAAACTGGTTTCATCGGATTTTCGGGATCATTCTGGAAAAAAGACACTTTTCTTCAGTGACTAATGAAGAAAGGGGAAAGAATGAAGAAAAGTATTTCTTAGGAATTACCTCTAAAGTAGTGACCTCAACAACGTCCAATAACTTTGTATTTCCCCTGACAATTGCCATTGTTGCTTCAGCCAAGGCACGAGCTTCCGAATACTCGTCATCTCGATTTAATAACGAATCAGCGACTCTATTTGTCATGCCTAGTGGTAAAATTGCAACTGGACATTGTTTAACATAACCGGCATTTCCCTGATATTTTCTCATTAATCCGGTGACAACATCCGATAAAGTTCCATCTCCACCGGCAACAATAATACCATCAGTTCGTGTATTTAAATTCGCCACAAGTGTTCTCGCTTGATTTTCCGATTCCGTTTGAATGACCGTTACGGCAATTCCAGCCAAATGCAACAAGGGTTCGCAATATTTTTCGAATAACTTTTTTGCCTTCCTTTGGAATTCAGAAATAGAGACTAAAGTTAATATTGTAATCGTTAACATAACTTTGAAACTGTTGAAAATGTTAAGATTTGAAATTAATTTGAAAAATCTAAAAACAACTTTCTTACCTCTTTTTTGCAACAGGATTTAAAATAACCGTCATGTGTGTTGGTTGAACTTTTGGCGCTATTGGTACGTCCCCATATTTTACGGCTTCCTCGCAAAATTCTCTCATCATATTCTGGGTACTGAAAATTAAAAATCAAATTTTTAGGTTAGGCTTTGAAATATGTTTAAATTAAAATTTAAAAAAAAAAAATAAAAGTACTTACTCGTATGAATCTATTCCATAATTAACACCATAGGAAATTGCTGCTGCTCCCACAAATGACTTTTTCCAATTATTTCTCACTGTTTTAAAAAAATTCACGACTCTTGCCATTTTTTAACTTAAATGTTAAGTTCGTACGAGACGATAACAAAAAAAGGAAATAAAATCTCTTATATTTACACACTAAAAAAATCTTATTTCAATATCACTGATCATTTTATTTTACACTTTTAATTCATTAAAATTTAGGCCCATTCCAAAAATTTATTTACCGCAAAAATAAACATAACCTTATTCTTTAAAGTGATTTTACATTCACATTATTCGTCAAGTTTCGTAATTTAAAGAACAACTTGAATAAATACGAAATTTTAAGAATAAAATAATTATCATTTGCAACAGATAGAATGAATAACTTCTTATTTTTATTAATTATTAACTTATTTAGAATAGGAAAAGGAAGGAAATTGTAAGTAAGGTCAGAGTCTGTCGGTAAAAACAATCTTCTTGATAGTGTTCTAAAGTTCTAAATCCGTTATATTTCCGGGAATATAACCAGCGATTCTGAGAATTTAATAGCATTAAACATAACCTCACTTTTTTCATTATTTTCGTAAATGCGATGGTCCGGCGTTGTGATTTTATTTTGTAGTTGTTTAAAGATTTAAAAAATGACAAAACCAAAGAGTGTAGCATATTATTTTATAAATGTAAATGACATTAAATTTATAAGATAAAAAATATATGAGTTTACTTTTTTTATTTACAGATATAAAGTAAAGAATTCTTTTAGATAAAAGTAATGATCGTAATTGTTTTAAAATATATGTATTTATATTAATAATTAATAAAAATAATAAATATATACATTATTTAAATAAATAAACTTAAATTCTCTTGAAAAAATTAAATTACCGTAACTTCCTTGGTTATATTACCCAACTTAAATTCTCGAAAATTTCAAAACACTACTTCCAGATACCACGTGGTGAGTGATCACATTTCTAAAATAGTTGAGTTAAAATTTTGTTTTATAAGTTAAAAAAAATTATAATTTACTTAAATTTACATCCTACTTATTATTTACAATATTTACATTTCTAAATTTAAAAAAATATGTGAAATTTTTTTAGTTTAAAATAAACATTTAGTTTAAAATAAACATTTTTCTTGAATGGTATAAAATAAAATAGTAATTGTTACTAATTATTATTAATGTTTAATATATATTAAAAAAGTTCGTAAATAAAAATTATTTAGAATTTCAATATTTAAAAAATTTTATTTTACATTTAAATATATTAAAGCATTTTAAATAAGCGCGCTTTTTTCTGACCAATAAGTGATTTATAGTGACAGTTTAGATGAAGTATACAATTTGATTGGTTGTTCATAACAAAACTGGACAAAACCCAGAGAGAGTAGACGAATTTGATAGGTTCTTTACCAATCTGGACAAATTGTCGCAATTTGATTGGTTCTTAACCTATATTATATGAAGAAAATACCTAAATTTGATTGGTTCTCTATTTATCAGAACAAATTTTCGCCTAAATGAAGGAATTTGATTGGTTACTTACAGTAATGGAAACTAATGCAGAACATCTCGCATAGAGATAAAGTTGAAGTAAAGCTTAAGTTACATTCTGATTGGTTCTAATCTGAATCTAACATTTTCACCATCGAATTTATTTTTATTTTGTAACTTAACAAATTTAAGAGAAAAATACAAAAGAAAATGAAAAACAGCATGAAACTTAAAAGTTATGAAAACAAAAAAAGAATCAACAGTGAAGAAATAAAGAAAATAAAAAAGATTAATAACTATTCAAAATTGGCGCCAATTGGCAAAATGATTCAGTAGAAGACTTCTCGGGTGTTTACGAGATGCTCGCCCTAGGGCGCCCCGAGGCGACCAAAGGTTCTCAAAGTCACTTTTATTATCGTTTGTTTTCATATAAATAAAGAATAATAAAAGTGACTTTGAGAACCTTTGGTCGCCTTGGGGCGCCCTAGGGCGAGAATCTCGTAAACACCCCTCGTCTGCTACGGCAGACGCAATTTTGAAATGAATAAAAAATCTCAATGAAAGAATAATTGTTCATGTAAAAGAAAGTGATAAAAGAAATTCTCCATATTAATCGAAAGAGATTGGATATTTGGCTTGAAATGCCAACTCCTCATTTATTTCAAGCAAGATTTACGGTAAATATGCGGGTTTATCCTTCATATTGGCGCAGCCATCTTAATCGTTTGACGTCATCATCTAGTCGGGTTCCCAAAGTTTGATAATCAATAAACGCTGTGCACATGACAGTTCTCGAAGAAATGGCTGTTATGGCAAAACATATCGTAAAAGTGTATCATCTATGATTAGAAAAGTGTGTGAAGAAATTTTGTGATGAAAATGCCAAGAGACATAAAATGGAAACTCGCGATTTTCGCCGGAATTTCAGAATGTTTAGTTTATGTAGGTGACATTCCCTGTGTGATGCATTTATACTACGACCTTGCGTGTTTTTTTTTTTGCAAATTTTATTATTCAAATATAATTTTTTTTTATTAACTTAAAATACGATTTTTCTATTTTTAAAAATAGCATCTTCTTAATTTTCAATTTCGAAAATTAATAATTATTTAATTACAATCAAGAAGATGTAATGTTTATAATCGGGGTTTGTTTACGGTTTGTTAGTCTTAACATTTAGGATTGTCATTTTCATTGTTATTTTCATTAATTAAATTAATAATTTTGAAAATTTTATTGTTATAATTACGATGTTTTTTTTCAGGCTGAAGCAAAATACTGTGCCTTTGAATTACAGGGAGAAACGAAGTACTATGTGTAAGTAGAAAATCTTACTATAAAGTGTAATTTTTAAAATTATTTTTCTTGTGAAAAGTATTTTTGCAAAAGAATTTTTGCTTAAGATTTATTTTATATTTACAAAATAATGTTTCAGATGCCCGAGAACTGAATATTGCTGTAACTTCGGTTGCTGTGTGTCTCCCGGTTTCCAAATGTACCATCTATGGTATTACTGGTAAGTATTATTATGATAAATTCTGTTTTCTATTAAATTAGTTTTCGATAAGTGATATTTTCATATTTTATTTATTTTCCAAGTCGTCACGGGCGAAATGTTTGATAGTGCCATCCCTGAGTTGTATAGCGCATGCGCCAGCCTGCGAATGAGATAAAAAAGGACAGAAACATTAACTATCCTTTTCTAACTCGTACTCTCTTTGATCTCACCACATAAGTCTTTCAAAGTTTGAAAACTTTGTTTCTGTTATAACAGAAATAAGTTTGCAAAGTTTGAAAGACAATTTAATAAGTAATTAATTGTTGCAAAATTTAATAGAGATTTTATTAATTTTTAGGCTCTTAGTGATAATCATGTTCCTGGTGTGTTCCGGGGGAGGATTGGGTTATCGATATTGGTTACAAGGAAGATATAGAGCAGCAGCATCAGCAATTCCTAATAGGACTTCCAATTCTAGGACACAGAATTCTCTTCGAGGTCCAACATGCCATGCACAGCAAGCTAGGATATCGTATAATTCAGCAAGGAATACCGTCCTTTTGCACCGAATGTTAAAAGGTATTTTTACTACTTGATACTCTTTCAAAAAGTTAATTGCTTGCGATTTGTAAAACGCATTTTTTTTATTTTGATATACGCCGCTTTCCTTTCGGTTTGACGGTGTTTTAAAAAGTCGTGGCACATCTATAAAAATGTTGTTAGTTCGTGAAGTATTCACAACATTTTGATAGATGATCGTTCATCATGACATAGGAATAAAAATTCTTTATGTCACGAACTAGGAATATAGAGTTGACAACGACTTTTTAAAATTCCGTCATACCGGATACATCTGGGTGTACATTATTAATTTCCTATAATTAAATATAACAAGTCTGATAAATTAAATTGTAAAGGGGATTGTACATGAAGAATTGCTATAGTTATTAGTAATTACTCGAACTTACAGTAATTGCAGTGGATAATAATAGCGTACAATGTATACATATATATTGTATATGTGTGTGATATTAATAAGTGTCATCAGCAATATTCTTATCCTAAAAGTGCAATCATTACGGTAATATTGAGTTCTCAAACAATTTGTCTCAAGGTCCATCGATTTTGCGAGTTCCGCCTTAACATTATACATAATTAAATGGAACGGCTGCACGTGATCAATCAAGTTTGAACAAACCCAAACCACCAATAATTCTATTCTTCAATCAACCTTGATCTTTTAATAAAATTTCATTTTCTAGTAACAGCTTTTTTTTTAATTAAAGACAATTTTTGAGGTTATAACGAACTCGCGAAGAATTACCACAAACAATACGGGGTTTGGTAAATAAACAAAAAATTACCTTAGTTGAACAAACTGTGACGTAGAGAACCACTCGTTTAAGATGAAATTTTTAGACTGAATTGCTGTTGATGGTCTGGTCCTTCTTATACCAAAATTTGTCCATATATTTTAGAAATTGTTCGCAAAGCCATGTATTTTTGAGATCGTTCGCTAAGCCATGCATTTCTAGAAATCCATTGTTGCAGGAACACTTGTGGTGACTCACTATTAGATCGCACGTGTCCATTCCTTATTACTCATATGTTATTTTATAATTTTGTTATTAATTGTTTATAATTTATTATAATTTGTTATTTGTTAATTATAATTGTTTAATTTTGTTACAATTAAAGTTGTTATATCTATCTATTTATTATTACAATTTGTTATTATTTGCTAATATTTATTGTTACAATTTATTGTTGTTTATTATTGTTATTTGTTTATTATTACAAGTTTGATAATATTTCTTATTACAATTTATTATTGTTAATTATTGTTATTTGGTTATTATTACAATTTTGTTATTATTTGTTAATATTTTTTTATTACAATTTATTATTATTTATTATCGTTTATAGTTACTATTTATAATAATATGTAAATAACAATCTTTGTTATTAACAAAGAATTATAATTAATTAATTCTAATAATTCTAATTATTATGATTATTATTATTATTAATTATCACGATTATTATCTTCGTTTAACGTTGTACTTCTCTATCTCGACAATTCAAAACGACATAAGACTAAAAACTCTGACGACTGCTTGTGATCAGAAAATGACAAGTTACGATTTGTTATTATATTGCTAAACTATTAGTTGAAACAATTAGATTCAATATGTTAACACTAATAATGGTTTTTTATTATAAAATTTGACATCTTAATGAGATAAATTATTTTTCTTCAGGCCCACATAGAAGTGCATCACCTGCCTACAATGGCGCCGCTGCCAGTTCAACACACTACCAAAATACAAGTGTCGTTCTAAATGACAACAACTGCCCTTATTATCAATTATACGGTCCTCCGCCGAGTTACGAAACAGTTATCGCGCAAACAAGAGGAAAAATATCAAATCCTTCGTCTCCCGATCACTCGAGACTACAATCGTCCGTAATTCAAAA